AGTTTTGTGTATTTCATACAGAACATCTCAATCAATCTCAATCATCTTTATACCCCCTTCCCCACTGCCACCCTCCCATAGCCCCCCCCATTGGAATTCACACTTTCTGTCATTTGTGTTAAGGCTTAGTGTGTTATTGTGTCGTTATTGTGTCAAGTTAGTGTCCCCAGATGTTACTCAGTGCAAGTTCATCTACTGAGGTCTAGTCAGCCTATCTAGAGTCCCTTGTTTTAGGAAGATCAGCTCACTGATAGACACACACACACAAACACACGTGTGTGTGTGTTTGTGTGTGTGTGTGTGTTTTAGAGGGCAATTTAGCAGATTCTATAAAAATTAAAATATAACTCCCTTTGGCTCAGTGATTTCATTTCATGGAATCTACTCTTTCAAACATCTACCTATGTGTACAAAGATGTATGTGCAAGGAAGGGAGACTCTTCAAGATCTCAAGTTAAACCATGGGGCAGGGGGTGTACCTCAGTTGGTAGAGTGCTTGCCTAGCATGCAATACGTCCTGGGTTTGATCTCTAGTATAAAGCAGGAATGATGGTGCATGGCTGCAATCTCAGTATTTCAAGAGGCAGAGGAAGGAAGATTGGAAGTTCAAGGTCATACTCAGCTATATACTGAGTTTGAGGACAGCCTGGACTAGAGACCCTGTCTCGATAATAAATAATTAATAATAATAATGATAATAAAACCCCAAAAGACTGTACATACTTTTTTTTTTTTTGGTCTTTTTGAGACAGGATCTCCCTTGTAGCCACAGCTGTCCTGGAACTCACTATGTAGATCAGGTTGGCCTTGAACTCGTAGAGATCCACCTGCCTCTGTCTCCCAAGTGCTGCGATTAAACGCGTGTGCCACCACACCCAGCTTGTACATACTTTTTGTGTGATTCCATTTCTCAAAATAGAATAAATCACACCCATAGCTGTATGTGTATTTGTATCTAAGTAAGTATCTAGAGAAAGGGCTAGAGGAACAAACACTAAACTAGGTGGTAACTCCATGTACTTCTTTGCTGCTTGGCCTACTTAAAATGCAAGTGGCTTGATATATTACTCGCAGAGAGAAAGAGCAGCATTCTCAAAAGATCCCTGCAGAAGCAGGGGACATGTTCAGAACTAAGAGCTACCTCTTCCTAAACTCTTCCTTAGTGGAGTAGGTCAGTCAGGTGTGGGGAGGTGTTCTTGGTTCTTTGAGCTCTGGGTTGTCTGGATATCATTCAGCATGTGTGTCATGCATGGGCTACCTGTCACCTCCGTCTCACAGCCCCTGACCAGCCTGTACAATGTACCACCCACACACCCATCTCAAGCCTAAGGCTAGCCTGTTTTTAAGTAGTGAAATAATAAGTCCTGACTATGTTATTTTCTGAGTTTTCTCAATTATGTCTCCTGGAGAAGAATAAGGTCAAACAAAGGAAAACCAAGGAGGCTGGGAGGAGGGGGTAGGATGTGGAGGGTGGTCATAACTGTGGCCTTCACTTTCCCCAGAGGCAAAGAAACCTCAGGCTGAGATCAGGGCTTCCCAGCATCCTCAGGCTGAGGCTTATTGGGAAATGTCAAAAATTGCCACCCACACCTTGGCAGGGGAGGGAAGAGACTTCCTCCTTAGGGATAGGTTTCATGGTATGGAGAGACCTCTGTGTGAGAGCAGGTGTCCTGTAGAAAGAGGAAGAGTCTGGGACTGGATCTTTCCCAGAGGGTTTAATCAGTGTTGAGAATTTGGTAATTTTAAACTTACTGGGAAATTAATATTTGAGCATAGATATGAAGGAGGGGAGAAAACAGTCATTTGGAGGTCTGAGGGAATACTATTCCAAACCTGAGGAAACAGCAGTGCACAGGCCCTGAGGCAGGTTGGAAGACTAGCCAGATAGGCAGAGTTTCAGCTGAGTTTCAGGAGAGTAGGAGATAAGGTCATAAGGGAAGGAAGAGATGTGGCGCTTGAGAATCACCTCCACATCTTGTAAGAACTCTGCCCTAATTATTCTAGATGAGTTAGGAAACCATTGGTGATCTGGAAGTCAGTGACAAAGCAGGCTGTTTTACAGGATGGCTCTTACTGTGCAAGAAGACTGAAGGAGTGAGGGAGTGTATATGCAGTGTATATCACAGTGCCTCAAGAAGTCACTGGTCTGCTGGAGAGATGGTTCCAGGGTTAAGAGCAGTGGCTGCTCTTACAGAGGACCTATGTTCGATTCCCAGCATTCACATGGCAACTAACAACTGTCCCAAAATCCAGTTCCAGGAAATCTGTCACCCTTTTCTAAAAGCCTTCTGGAGGCATTGGACACACATGCTGTAGTTACATACATGCAGACAAAACATTCCTACACATAAAATAAAAATAAATAAAAACATAAAAAAAAGAAGTCACTGGTCAAAGGAGATCTAGATGTATTAAAGGCCCTCTAGAAGATGGGGACTATTAGCCTGATTAAAAAATGTAGACACTAGGCAAGCCACCCATTTAAAGAGTTTAGAGTCCTGTCCACACAGCATGGTCCCAGCCTCAAGTCCTTCCTGCCAGGACCCTGGCTTCCTACTAGGTAGCAGTGGCCACTGCTGACTTCAGGGCAGAGTAGTTGTTCTCCAGAGGCAAGGTGGGAGTCATGGGGTCAGTACACAGACCTGCCCATAAGGACCTGATGATCTGGGCTTGGAGGAGCTGAGGAGGGATTCTTGGGAGCCAACCTGAGTGAAGGCTCTTGGAGTGAGCTTGACTGCCATGGTGGGGGTATCCCAAAATACATCACCAGAGTCTCAGATGTGTATCAGTGATTCTTAACTTGTTCATGGAGACAAGGGCTTCCTAGAGCAAGTGATAAAATATTAATACCCTTTCTGTGGGCATGGAAAGAATTCACAAATACATCCAATTCACAAATGTGGATGTTCACAGCCACAAGTACATATCATCCCTTACACCTCATATTCTAGGGGGTTCTTGAAACCTGGCATGGACCACAGGTTATAACCTTAGAGGAAGGTTGACTTACAGAGACTCAGAACTTAGAATAAGAAATAAAAATTCACGGCTGGAGAGATGGTTCAGCTGTTAAGAGAACACACTGCTCTTTCAGAGGACCTGAGTTTGATTTCTAGTATCTATGTCAGGTAGCTCACAACCATCCATAAGTCCAGCTCCAGGGGATCCTACCCCATTGGCCTCTTCAGGCACCTACACATGTGTGCACATACTTCCTTAATCCCCTCACATAATTAAAAATCAAAATAAAAATTGATAACATAAAAAAATAAGCTTACTGAAGTTTTCCAAGGTTTATCTGGAAAGTGTGTATCATACAAATCCCAGAGAACAGGGGCTGGAGAGATGGTTCAGTGGTTAAGAGAACTTGGTGCTCTTGCAGAGGACCTACATTCAGTTCCCAGCTTCCATATGGCAGCTAACAACCATCTGTAACTCCAGTTCCAGGCAATATAAGTCCTCTTCTGGCTTCTGAGGTCATTGCATTCATGGGTGCACTTCAATACATGCAGGCAAAACACTTATATAATAAAAATAATAAAACATAAAATAAAATAAAGATTAAAACATTCCAGAGAACAGGCATGGAAAGTTGAAGCTGGCCTCTGATGGTGGGGTAAGGGGTGATTACTACTCATCTGTACTTTGTCACTAAACACAACAGCATGCTTCTCTTTCCCAACCAGAGTAGCAGGATCCAGCATTTTGGTGAGCCTGTTTGGGAATGGAGGATAGGGCCAGAGGCTTGCAGACAGCAGATCAGCCAACATGAGGGTGGGGATGATGTGGGGTGGGAACTAGCAGTTTTTACAGAAGTTTTACCTAGAACCCTTCCCTGGGCCTGGGCACTTTATCATATTTCAAACTTACTTTTCCTGGGCCTGCCCTGATGTTGTATGCCTTTAATCTCCACAGCTTGGGAAGCAGAGGCAAAAGGGTATCTTTCAGTATGAGGTCAGCCTGGTCTACAAAGTGAGTTCTAGGTCAGACTGAGCTGCATAACGAGGCCCTGTCTTAAAATTTTTTTTCCTTCTTTCTTTTATTCATTCTATGAGATTTTTTACTCACGTACAAACAGTCTATTTTAATTACATCAGTCCCCTGCCTTCCAGTTCCTCCCAAACCCGGTCCGCATCCCAACTTCACGTCCTCTTATTTATTTTACGTGTACAAGTGTTTCTTGCAGGTATGTAAGTGCACCACGTGCGTGCAATGTCTGCGGGGACAGAAAAGGTGACAAATTCCCTGGAACTGGAGAAAGGGGTGGTTTTTAGCCATCCTGTGGGTGCTGGGAACTTAATTCGGATACTCTACAAGAGGAGCCAGTGCTCTTAACCGCTGAACCATCTCTCCAGCCCCCATGTCCTGTTGACATAGGCCACTGAGTGCAGGCAGTGCTGTCCCTATGTGCAGAGGTGTAGGGCCATCCACTGGAGCCCCCACAACGTAGAAGGCTCGCTTCCCTTTGGCTAAGGCGCCCCGGATAGGACACTTTAAACCCGGCCGCTCCCCGCCCACCGCATCGGGCACTGGGCGGCCGCGCATGCGTCCTTGTTCCCCGGGAGGGGGACGGCTACGCGTACGCGCACGCGCGCGTCCCCGCGGACAGTTCTTTCAGCGGCCGAGGCCGCGGCGGCGCGCTCCGGCGGTCTGAAGCGGCGCCTGGCTGCCACGGGCCGGCGGCGCGATGAGCTGGACGGCCGCCCCCGGCTCG